TAAAATAATAATTTTAATGGAATTTGTGTGTTATTTATAGTATGGATTTTTCTTAAAAATGTAAAAATAATTCAATTATGGCAATGATAACAAAGAAAAAGATTCCATTAAAATGATGCTAGTCCATAATAATATTGAGTATACGTATACAGTTTATTGTATAAGCTCGATTTTATTATTAATCATATGGTTCCATTAATTATAAGAAAAATATTCCATTAAAACGATACCGTGTGTCATAGTATTAACTATATTGGTTAATTATTTTTAAGAGTAAATACAAATTTATACCTTAAATTAATACCACAATGTTATTGAGTTTAAAATGAATATAATAGATTATAGTACTTGTTTGTCAYAATTTTAAGGAAGCCGTATCATTTTTTCAAAATAAAACAGTTTAAAAATTATGATAAACATAATATAATTGACGTGTAGTCGATTTAATTAATTTAAAAGATTCTATATTCATAAATTAATGAGTGAATTCCAAAGGCTCCAAATCATACCGTTTTCCATTAAATTTATAGTCGTTTTTCATTAATAATAAAACATATTTTTCTGGGTGATACGTGCTACGACCTACCAACTACAGTACGACGTGTGTTAGAATATTATACTTGAATTTAGCTATTATAGCGAAGAAAATCAAATTTTTGAAATATTTTATAATATAATATTGTCGAATATTATAAATAAATATACCGAATCTATATAATATATGATGCAGTCGAACTACTTATGTAGTTGTTTTTAATAATATTGTTTGTTATCAATTGAATTATAGTATGTATTATATATAATATAGGTACACCATTGAAATACAGTGAATATGTAAAATATGATCATACTTGTCGGATATTTATAAATGTTTGGATAAAGACGTAACTGATACTTTTGAACTTAAATATTGATAAATTCTAAGTACATCTATATGTGTATTATAATATTCAGATATGAATAATATTTATTAGTTAATAAACACGTCATAACATATGTGTCCGTCTCAAAATATATGTTTGTACTATATTATGACATTATTAATTTTTMCTAATTAAATGAGAAATATCTCGGAAATTAATGCTAATATTTCATCAGTTTGCAAAMCTTTCGTTTGTATTTTAATTGATAAAACCTGTGTATACGTCACATCTGTATCCATAGGGACGAAAACAATTGTTACGAGTGCTTGTCACGGCAGAAGAAAGTAATACCGAATACCACTGCAGTCTTATAAAGAATTTATTTGTGTTTTGAATATTTTAAAAGYGACAACAAATTTTTTATCTTGTAATTCGATCAGTCTATAATAAATTTATAATACTATACGCGCAAAAGTATGTCCATGAACTACACATGTAATCAAGTAAGCGATTTATCAAACAAAGAATAATATTACATAATATATAGTATTACTATTACTATCATATGATTRGTATTGTTTTGGTAGTAATTATTAGTTATAGTAATGACATTTTAAATAGAAAATAATTACCTAATACAAATTATAGACATTGTTTAGAAACATGATGTTTCGCCGTACTYGTATTTTTTTTTTAATTATATAAATCGGAAATTGATGAAAATTAAACTACAAAAGGTACATTTTACAAGAATTAAAATCATWWATTAAAAATTTCAAAGGTACCTAAGTATGAATCGCATATCATATTGACTATTGAGTAAAAATAATTATCAACCATGATTAAGGAAACAAATAATCGTAAAAGTAATTCAAATCCATCTTTGTTATACCTACACTATGTTAGTATGTTAACAATGATAAATAAAAAAAAAAATTATTGAACTACAGTTAAACTGCAACTGAAAAAGTATTTAATTAATGTTTTATTTTGTAAATGAAGAAACCACTTAACTTTCTCTATTTTCTAGTACCTACTAGGCTGTTCGACTTACTGCAACTAYTACAACACAATTTCAAATGCAACTTTATATAGTATATTATGATATTTTTGAGATTCGAATAGAAATTTTTATATTATGTATAATTGCTTTTTTGTAGATTCTATAGTATGCACTATATTTTATTATATACATAGGTATGTACAAATGTATGTAGGTATGTTTATATTTTATAATTATATTATATTATCATGTTAAATACCTTGTACACATGAGTATAATACCTATATTGTTTTCTTTAATATTAAAACTAAGAGTTCTACTTCTCATTTTCTTATCATTACTTATATAATATAAACTTGCATTGCAGCCATTATTAATTGCAGTGTGACTGCCTATATAAGTAGGACCTAATAATCTAATACATCATATTGTATGACGACAGTTTTAATTTCGATTTCGTACAGTACCTGTACTCCAATTATTTAAGTGTACTGTTATTTTTTGTTCTTATCGGACATAATATCGCCTATAATATATTCTATATGACTATATGTGTACAAGTTTCAACTGAAAAATAAATATTGCATACATCATATCATAATATCTAATATTGTTGGTGTATTCTGCAGATCCGCTATTATATGCTATGCATATTGTAGTGTTTTAACGCTTGCCGGTCAATACCCTATCGGAAAAAAAATATTGCCATAAAAATGCGTTATAATCTGTGTTGGATTTGTTTTCGGAACTAACTAAAAAATATAAAAACAATTTATATTCAATTCCGCCTCCTGTTTTATAATGTAAAGCGTACTAGCAATATATAATAACTATCTTTATGGCTAAATGTGCTGCAGCGAGTCGTGTGTGTATATATACTGCAGATTCAAAGGGATAACATAATCCCTTTTGATCATTAATCAACCCCCTCGAACAACCCATCCACAATAATGACAAACAATACACGTATAAAGAAAATAACAATAATAAACAAGTATAAGCCATGAYCGACAGAGTTTTGCGCTGCTGCAGGTGTATTTCGTATTTTTAGGGACCAGCTATAGTCGATGCTTATAAATAATAATAAGCAAAACAAAAGCGGAATAAAAAACAAATCATAATATACGTATGCCTAACACTTTTTATGCGAATTATTATCCTATTATTTTGCGCAATTATGGCGATATTAGCACAGATGGTCTAAAACCAATTATAATATGACATATATAATTATGGTTTCTTAAWAAGTTATTATATTTTTTGAACTTGTTATTTTGTTAGTAAAAAATCTTACTTCTTGCGCGTATCGTAAATTATACGGTGAAATTAAACATATCAAACTTTCTTTTGTATAGTAAAAATTCTTGTACGACTTTGTGGTGTCGTTAAGAATTTTTCTAAATCAAAGCTGTAATTGCTGCTCTCGCTTTTTAAGAATTTGTATTTGTTTAACTACTTCTTTATATACCTATTAAATAGTAGGCATAGACGTTCATCACTACAATAGCTTTGGCTGATATTTAAATAAGTATTGCAACTACCTACTCTTTTGTGGGAAAATAAGGATAGTACTGGTATTAGCTGATGGGTAATTATCTCAAAATCGAGAAAAACGCTGAGTGGCTGAGTCACTGCCAATTTCGCTGAGGGTTTAATATCGAAAGGTATTATTTTAATATGAATCAAATGAAATGGGAAATATTTTTTTAATGATTATTTTCACACTTTTCATTGTGCGTCATAAAAAAAATGTCTGAGCAATGAGCATATTATTATTCAAACCTAACAGAACAGATTTTTAGTTTACATCGACGTGTCGTGGTGTAGGTGCGTGCGTATATGACGACATGACCGATGCGTGCGAAACGCCCAGTAAGGGAGGGAGTTGTTTTTTTTGTGCCACAGCACACGTGCACTGCGTCACTGCTCGTGTATATATATATATATATAACGATGTCAACAAACAAGGGATTGTGGGATTGGATTATATCAATGGGCAACTCCAAAGCCATCAATCAATTTCTCCGTTCTCTCTTGTACGTTATTTTTTTTCACCATTTCTCGTCTTTCGCGTCGCGTCTTTTTATTTTGTTATTATCATCCCTTTGAATGTAGGTGTCTAATAATTTTATATAGGAACGCGTGTGATAATTATATAAGAGTCGATAAATTTAAACTTGTAATCGATATATACGAGGCATGTGTCTGAAGTTGACACACTTACTTTGTCTGATCAACTTTCAACTAGTACCATAGACTGTTCTATAATAACCAATGCTAGCTAGTAATGCTAGTACCTACCAAGTTTTTATAAACCATTTGCATTTCGCAACAATTTTTATTGAAAAAATATATTTTTCGTCACTTTCTTTATACGGGCAGAAACAAATATTTAGTCGCAAATAGTGTTTGAAATTTGGGGGGGGGCATAACTCAGGTTAGCAAAATCTACACTCGGGCAAGTCCAATGTATTATGTTGTAAAATCATAAGATTTTGGGGGGAGGGGCTATAGCAATTCTAGAGGAAACTAAGCCTCCCAACCCCCTTCTATTTGAACCTATGATATTATCTATACCTAAAAAAAAATATGTACCTACATATTAGAATTTAGAGAATATAATATGAATTACGAGTATAATGTATAATATTATTATTTATATTTATTTTCGATTGGATATAAATAATAATATAATATATACAGCAATAGCCAATATTATATTTGGAATAATAAATAATAAAAAAAAAAAAAATAAATATATGCATTTAATACGATGCTGTGATAAATTATTACGTTTTGTATTTATTTTCCCAAAAAAATATTCCTCCAAACTCCATGTAATAAAGGCCTACTATAAAAAAAACACCACTMAGCTGAGCCATCTTTATAAATATCATTTATATTAAAATTGACAAATGGCTGCTAATAAATAATTGAATCTAGCTATGCAGCTCAAATTAAAAATTAAAAACTACTAACTATAGCATAATGAGTTATGAGTACAAATTATTATCATTAAATAATAATAACAATAATAATATATAACATAATGATTAAATTATTACAAATTATTACCTATAATTAATAGTCCATCGTTGAAATAGTGTATTGGTGCGTTACTAATCAAGTGGTTTACAGTTTAAAGTCACCAAACTAAGTTCAATTAATAATTGCAAGACTAATAGCAGACTATTTTAAATTTTAATATAAATTATATCTATAATATAGTTCAATGACTTACTACTTAACTATCTATAAAATTATATCACAACAATTTTTAGACATGTTTTTTTTTTTTAACTTAATGTACCTAATTTTTGTTTGCGTTTAGATACATAGCAATGTATTGTAGTTTTCGCAATACCATGAATACAAAATATACATCATATTATTATACAATGCGGCGGCGTTAAATTATTACGTATTGTGTTTGTTTGTAGAGGACGATATGAATATATTACAATACTGAATACACTAATCTGTTGTTTACAAACAATTAGAACGGCCGTCTGTCATTGTCACAGACGACGCGGCACACACCAAGCCGCGCGCGGTTATTGCAATGCTTGCAATAATTACAATAATCCCAATGCATGTGGACCAGTGTACATTATTATTATTATTATTATTATTATAGTATAATAATATAAGGACCGACCGGCTATGCAGTGCACGCGTATAATAAATAATAACAACACAAAATAATGTGAGAGACGCGGCGGCATGTGTAGTGTATACCGGGTGATCCATTCAAATCAAAACGCTATCATTATTATTTTAAAAACCTATTGACGTTTTTGAAAATATTTTTTTTATACATCATTTCAACTTTTAATTTATCAAAAACAACATTTTTCTAAGAAAATATTTTATTTATTTTTTATTGTTCATCGTTGTTTTTTTTTTTTTTTATTTTAAAAATTATTTTAATAATACTCTTAATCATTTATTCCAGAACTAATATTTTTTGAAGATACCTATTTCAATGCATGAATATCTAATTTTAGACGAGTAATTTATAAGTTATATAATATAACCAATACTTAGATAAGTTATAACCAGGGCCCCACATTAAAATGTGATGATTCCCTTTACTAAATGTTTTTGTTGGCCATATTATATAAAATTTCCAATAAAATACAATCCATTACAAGCGATACGAGTGTCCCACACCTGGTTTTTACTTAATATATTTTAATACAAAATAAGTATTACTATCAAAATTTCGTAATTTCAAAAATTACAAATAATTTCAACGAGCCCCTAAAATAGTTGTATCCTTGTAATCCTGGTCCAACAGCCCCTTCTCCTTGAAGGGACCCTGATTATAATTATATAATAATAAACTACTTGTCCGGAATTTGTTTTATATAGATCGAAATAACTCCAAATTACGTTCTGATTTGAAATATGAAATTAATATTATATATATATATATATATAATACAAATAGCATATTTTTCTAAACGAGTGATAATATTATAATATCGTTGATGCGTATTCATGTAGCTGATTTTCGAACACTTTTATTATGTTGCTTATCATACGTTGAAGGTACACCAAGTGTATTTCATATGTTACGAATATTATTTAATTCTCGTTTTATTTMTACCTAACGAAAAAAATATTAAAATTAAAATGCCTAAAAAAAGTGTTACACAAATGCAACTTAATTTTATATTACATTTTTTTACATAATAATTTGAATTTATCTAACAAATAAAGTATTTTTTATATTTTTATAGGATATTTTTTTAGAGTTTTTAAGCCATAAATACATTTTTTGAAAGGGCGTTATTCTGTATTTTTAAGGGCATTTATATCTGAGTCCGTAATAACCAATGATGGGTATTATATAWTATTAGATTGCATTAATATTTGATACATATTTTACAATAAACGAAATAATAATATATGACGACGTGAGCTGCAGAAATGGTTTTCTGCGAATATCGTTCTGTATACTAGTATACATATTACATACATTTATGTCACATTATTGTACATTTGTACGTGTGTCGAACATGTACGCATATGCATTTATCACGCTGTATATAATTATGTGTACCGTGTACGTATTATTATAATCACGATTTGGGCGGGTTGAATATTATGAAATTATGACGTACAGCTATTATGTATATTAAAGACCGTGACATACGTTCAATCTGCGTGAAAAGTGAATAGGTAGTGCGCGTGTGCTTTTCTTTTGTATACGACTGCTGCAGCTATATAAGTCGGAAATCAAAAGATACTAATACGATTTACATTTATGTATCTACAACTTGTGCCAAGGCTAGTATACATAAATCATATACAATAAACATAAATGTGCCTTAGGTGTGAACCAACAGAAGATATCACCTATATTATAACAAAATCGTTTATAATCACAAAAAGTTGTTCGACTTTATTTTCGATCGTAATTTGTATTTTTGTGCAATTGTGCTGATGCTATCTTCACGACAGCATACCTAATAAAAGTTGGTTAAAACTTTTCTTGTTTTGGCTTGAATTGGTTTAAACCAACATTCATATAGTTACTAGTTAGACTTGAAATTTAAGATGAAAAAAATGTTCTATTTCCTTTGCMATCCCAACCACCTCAATGCCTATTTAGATGTGAGAAATGGCGCTCCTTTACGTATGTATATTACTGCAAAAAAAAAACCGAAACTCAATTTCCGATTGTTTCAAATGCGAAGCAGACAGCCAAATCGACACATATTATGAATTATGGCGACACAATAGCTAGAAATCTATCTATATGACATTCAAATCTTAATGTCCACCAATTAAAAAATCCAAAATATTTAACACATATGATACGTCGATACGATTGAAATGATTTCCATATTTCCATATTTTTGGAATTGACCACTTAAAAAAGGAGTATACGTCCTTGAATAATATTATAATAATATATGAATGACGCTTATTTTAATATGGATATTATACACTATACATAGAAACGATGTTGTTTTTTGGCTTTCAGCTTTTGACATAAATAGATTTTTTTTTAAACGTGTGTGCGTGTATGACAATATTATTACGGGACGTAAATACTTACAGACATGAATGTATAGTAAGATATATTTAAATTACATAGTTATATAATATATTATTGTTATTATTGTGACAATATAAATTCGATTTGACGACAATTCGGATGTAATGTAGGTATGTAGGTGGTGGAATTTCGGATATAAATATTGGTCGACCATAATATGTTCCCTAGAAAATTATATAGTGACACACCACATAATACGATATACCGTTTTATATCCGCGCACAGCGAAATAGTATAAATGTATGTATGCGTCGTGTTTATGTTATATTGGTTTCAGTTCGACAAAGCGTATCAACCGACGAGATTGGGAAATTGGGAAGTTCCGAAATGGCATCTCAATCGTCCAAAAGGTCGTTCGACCGTCACAAAAGTCATTGCTAACGATAGGGGACATTTGCTGCCCGGGGTTCAAAAAACCGATCAGAAGCACTGGGCAGGACTTTACTTGGGCACGTATCAGTTGCCGAAACGCATCTCAAAAGAAATCGGTAATATATTATTATTTAGTGTGCCGTGGATTTCCGCACAAATATATCATATAATACACCTTTTATTGGTGACCRATTTGCATAATATTCTGATCATAATAGATATCTGAATAATTACACAATTTATTGATTATTAAAATTTATGAATTTACCCACTTTTCAAATAGACTGAATTCCAGACATTTTGTACGGCCTTCAAAGAAAAAAACATAAGTATTATTTTAAGTTTTAAGTCATGAGTATAGGATTTTTCGACTTGGTGTATTTATTTTTTTGGCATATTTTCCCGTCAGCCATTTTTCCGTGGTATTTTTWAACGACTACCAAAATCACGATGTCGTATATAATTATTCACTATGCGCTTACTCTGTGTACACAGCTACAGAATTGTCCGGTCCGAAGTGTCAGACGTGGATGAAACGTTCATATCACCACCCGTTTATCGACCGTAGCCAACGAAACAAGACCGAGAAAGGCGAGAACAATAACAAACTGGAGCTAATTAACGTCAATAAAGAACAACGACAACAACTTAAAGCCAACGAAGAAACCGACAGAGATTCGATTAAGTCCGTCAAGTCTTCGGTGAGTCATTGCCGATTGCCGACGCGTCGAGTGGATCCTTGTGTTAAAGATGAAAAACCATTAAATGACAATGACACTGACAATAATTTATGACAATACAATAATCTATATTAATAAACGGCTATGATTGTGTATGTGCGTGTGTAAGGGACAGGAAATTTGGTCAACTCGGACAGGACATTTTAGGAAATAAAATAGGTAGATTGCAAACTCAAACCGGCTATTCAAGATAACATTAAAGGTAAATGTAAATATGACCCGATAATTTTTATCCATCTTAACCATAACAGTTTAAAAATTCAAAAAAAATTTTTAGAAACAGCACTTAAAAAATGTAAGAACAGAGAAATATCGATGAGTGAATACGTCAAACACATGGCTTTTTGCATAAAAATAATTGATTTTACTTACATTATTGCTCTACAATGTTACTCTTATTTTTACATAGGTAAATATATTTTAATTATATTTTTTGCACTAAATACTCAAATGAAATCCAACACTGAAATACGTATTTTACTTAAATTTATATGATGAATTCCATAGTATGAGTAATAATCTTAAATTAAAAATATCATAAGAAAATTATTAATTAGATATAAGAAGATCTTTTTATACGGACCGAATTTACTCGTCTATTATTTTTAAATGAAAAAACCAAGCCGAGATTACAATCGATCAGTGTTTAAGTAATTAACATCCAGTCTATCTCAACAATAGTTTTGAAATTTAGTATATTAGGTAAGTAGGCAATCTTATACCAACTTGACTACCCGAATGCCAAGGACGTGTACCTCGAAACCAAATGTTTGCATTCTAAAAAATAGGACGTCTTTTGTGTTAGTAGGCTCACGAAAACTAATATTATTTTGTTTGTATATAGGGTTGCTGACAGTTACAGAAAATTAAAAAAGTTTTTAGGATCGCATACAATTTTAAAGTATTGTATATTTAATTAAAAACATCCAAATTAACGTATTCAAACTATGCGTGTAGCTTACATTTGATGGGRTTTAAGATAGGGTAAATCCGCTGACATTATTTAATTTGTCACGGAAAACGCTGCAGTGATTGATTAAAAGTTACCTCTGAAAAAAAATCATTTTTTGATTCATTTATTATTTCCATTGRTCACAAAAAATGAAATAGCGTCTATGATTTAACATAATTTTAAGCCTTTATTTTAAATTTAGTCTAAACAATCCAAATTTGGTTGCTTAGCTTGGGCTATAGTCTGAGTGTTACTATCCCACGCAAAACAGTTTTTGCTTTGTTTATAACGTTTGTAAGACTGAGTCAACACAATATGCAGATATGTTGTCCTCTTTAGGGGCAGATCGCAGATGTGTAGCTTTTTTTCGTACAAAAAACTGGTATATATAGAATCGATTATTTAAATTAATTTTATATGACTTAATGCATTTTTAAACCATATACACACAATCGTATTCTTTTAAAAATGATTCATAACAAAATGGACGAAATGGAGCAGAAAATCGAAGTATTAAGAAAAAAAAGCAATTTAAAACATAAAACTATCAACAACAACATTTGAATGATTGATTTTCTTAAGACTCTGCAGGTTATTATTATTAACCATTATTTTGAAATACGAAATAATTTATAAATTTAAATTTTGTTTGTTCACTATAATATATTATATACAAGGAATTGAGAATTCTATAATTGTGGCTAAAAATGTTATTTATTGTTGAGCTCGAAACATAATTACAAATTTTCTGATTTTTTCGTATTAATCGTATTAAAATATATTAAAAATACCCCCACAACCCTGCATATGCTTTGCTAGAGTTCTGCTTCAGTACAAAAAAATTGCTCGGTACGGCTCTGGAGCAAAATATAAGCAAAGTCAAAATGTTACTTAATAAGTAGTGAACGTTTAAGTAATACAAATATTATGACTACTAATTGAAGAGAGCTAAAAATCTTGGATAAGCACAAATAATACATGCACTAAGACGTTAAAAAATGCATGAAAAATAAAAAAYATGCGTARAAAAATTAACAAAAAAAAATATATTTTTTGAACATCTAATTAAAACAACATATTTTAAATCATAATAGAACCCTACTACAAATAATACTTTTCTCAATTTTTTTTTCTGAAATGATTTTAATGGGAATGGTCGTAATCGATATTTTATTATCTTGGTATACCTTTTTTATTTCACCAATTATTGATATAAATTTTAGGGTCTAAGATCTTTGGCAAAACCGTTTATACCCACAATTACATCTACTAATTTATTTTGATATTATTAGAAATTATAAAAATATGATATTATTTTCTTATAATATAGTATATATATCAAGAAATTTCTAAATAAACAAAAAATCATTGAAATATGCGCCAAAGCAGTTTCATTTTATGCTATGAAACAAATTTTATACACTCATTTAGCATACCTACAATCGACCATAAAAAATATGCAAATGCATAATATAAATCGATGCTCTAATTATAACGTATCAATTTGATTTCAGGTTTCGGACATGCCGGCGCCGAACGTTTCCAGGATCGAGACGGTCAGGAATTGCGCTTCGGCGGACGGCCGTGGACCTTTGAATTCGACAGCAGACGATGACGACTGCGACAGCGGCGGCGATAATGCGCGCAGGACAAGACAACGTGGAGCGGTCAACGGCTGCAGCGGCGCCAAATCACCGTCCAGCCCGGCGCTGAGCCGCATAAGCGCGAGCTGTGGCCACTTGCCGGTGACGGGCATGAAAGACGAAGACGACGGCGGAAGGCCGCCGGTGGCAGATGACGAACAGCCGACCGGACGCCGGTTCGGGGACGCGCAGAGACATCACGGACTTCCGGACGCCATCGAGGACGCGGTGTACCGGTCGCTGCAGACGAAAAGACACAAACACCCGGGACTGGGTCTGAACGGTTGCTGGCCCAAGTGTTCCGCGGTAGCGTACAAGTCGTTCAACGAYCCGGGCCCGACGCAGTGCAGCAAGCTCCGGGTGTACAGGCCAAAGACGTCGTCGCCGACTCAGTCATCGGCCGATGGCGGCGACGGCGAGAAAAAAGACCCAGCCCGGAGGCGCAACAAAAATTTATCACGGCCCAAAACGTGCGGACCCGTCATGACGGCCCAACAGCTGACCGACATCAAGCTGGCCTTGTGCTGGGATCTGGATGCGCCGTTCGACCGAAACCGGCCACCGCGGCCGCCTGACGAGCCGGCCGTATTCCACAAGGTTCGGCAGCAACTGCAACAGCAACTGCAGCAGTCGCGTGAAGGTGGACCCGCGACGGGCAAACCGCAAAATTCGTCGGCCGTCATGGGCTTTGTGCGGACGACCGAAAACCGTAACGTCAACGGCAATGGCGACGGTGAAGGAGAAATGGTGCCTGAAGCGCGACGGACGCAGACCCGCGAGTGTCTGATGAAAAATCGCAATCTGTCGGCCGTCATGGAACTGATATCAAATAAAGACCGCGAGGATGGCCGTAGACCCACGGCCGCAGCGGATGYGGAAGACAGCAATGTCACCGCAGCCCCGAACCGAACTTCTCTCTCGAACAAACCATCGTCGTCGTCGTCGTCGTCCACGTCCGCGCGTCACGGCAAAAACGGTTTGGATGTAAACGACCGGAAAGACGACGTATCYAAATCCGAAGACAACAACCGTGACTCCGACCACGACGATAACAACCACCAACATGAGCACGACGACCATCATCGCAAGTCGAATAAACCCGATGCAGCGCACTGTCCCGACGTCGGTTCGCCATCCGACMGGCGGCGCCGTCATAACAGGCCGGCGCAACAGTGCAGCAATTCCGCCCAGGAAAAGGAACCGAAACCCAAGTGGCATGGCCGACACTCCTACCGGCCTTGTCTGGCCTGTGACGACCCGAACGTGGCAGCGGGCACCAACTTCAAGAGGGACGAAGAGTGCGAGCACTACAAAATGGCGTTCAAGGCGGGCGTGCCGGTCAGCACGCCGGTCAAGCTGCGGACTGCCGCAGCCGGCAAACCGGCCAAGCACCTCAAAGTGCCCAAGCCGAAGACCACCAACTCAGACAAGAAGAAGTACGTCATCGGCACGCTGCTGCCGCCGTTCTCCATGTGGCCGGGCACCACAGCCCGTGACTACCCCGAACACTGGAGGCTGACGTCCGTGTACAGGCAAGCGTTCAAGCCGCTTGAGCTGCGCAAACAGCCTCTGCTCCAGACCATTTACCTGTGAAGACAGTTACGGCGGTTCGGTGAATGAAGATTCTCATTAGAGATGATGGG